CAGTAACAGTAAGCTCAGGATAACAAGAGATAACAACATTTATTTTTGGTGGGAGTGTAAAGAAGCAAAGCCAGCATCAATTTCTCTGCTGCCATGACTGTGATGAGCGGAGGCAGGGTTACGACCAGTGAAGCATAGACGGTGTTTACCTTTCCTTTGTGTCCCACACACCAACATTCACACCTTCCTCAAAACATGTGCAGGCTGTAGACACCTGCACACACAAAGGCATGCACTTTCACCTGGTACAACGTGGAATCGGCTGCCACATCTTTGAGAAACAACCTTTTATGATCTTGTCAGGTTGAACTAAATTCTAACAGGTTGAGGCCACACAAGACATGTTTTGAAAGGCTAATTTGAAGGAAACCTTGTATAGAGAGCAGCTGTCTGTCGATGAAAATACAGGCTGTCATTGATAATAAAAACCCTGCCAGCTCTTCACTCCTAGATGCAGTCCTTTTCTATCCATCCCACATAGTGACATTCAAAAGCAGCTTCACAGAAAACCTGCTAATGCAATTCTCATTTACATTTTAGATACTGTTGGATGTGCTGTCATCAGGGCTCCATTTTAATTACATGAGAGTTTTTTGAATGTTTTTACATGCCACGATCAGCCATAAAACAAAACAAGAATGATTAAGTGAGAATGTGTTTTGGTACATTTTGCAAAAGGAAGCAGACAAACTCTTATCTATGACCACCTCTATGTAATCTCTTCAGAACTATATGTAACCCTGAATACAGTTTGCAGTCCAAAGTAGCTACACAAATTAAAACGATTTTACATTTTCAAAAAGAAACCTTGAATATAATTTAATTTAAATTGGCTGGTCTACTTTAGCAGTTAGTCATAACCTCCATCTATAACCTTAATAAAAATAAATGTCCTTTAGTTTCATCTGCGCATTTAGCATTGAATAAATGACGTTGTATGAGTGCCTCGCAAAGCCATTTATTTTGTATCTGAGTACTTCTGTCAAACATGGCTGAACATGTTGAATGTAATGTAAATGGCCGCTTGCTGCTTTTTAATATATGCTACTTGTGCTGCATCTTTTCCATAGAGAGTACTGTGCATTCATTAAGACGGAGGTCATCTATAATATGTATGTTTTCTGCGTTTCATTAACAATTCTCATGTTTCTATTATTCTGATATTGTGATTCTTCTACATGTGTGTTATAGTTGTGTGGAAAATATTCACCTGCCTCAACCTTGAACGAAAGTAACAGCTGAGTAAGCATTAAATGTTTTGGCAAATTGTTGCATTCAAATCTGTTGTTGAACAGAAGGAATGAGGTAATGGAACAATTTAAACTGTAACTCATTGTGTGGGTACTTTTGTTGAACCATGCATAACCTCTATTATCTAAAGTCATGTTTTGCAGTTGTTCTGTGAATCATCTGGAAAAGTGTGTTTCTTTCTCTATGGCCATTAAACAAAGAAAAAAATGCTGCTTACTGGTTGATTCTGAGAAAAATATTACCGAAGTAATGATTCAAAATCTCATGAAGACGTGCATTTTGGTAACAGTACTTAATACATTACACGAACAGGAGGACAAACACAAAGTGTATCAGTGCACCGTAAGCACCTTTTTATTTTATTTGGATGGATTTATTTTGCCAATGTCTGGTTAATATCCATCAAAAAGTATTACTTGAGTTAATTGTTTCCTTACATGCTTTACCAAAAATAAAAGTAGTTGGTAGTCGTGGTTTGAAATGTCTTACTTATTCATGGATGTATCTGAGGATGAGCTAACTTTTAATAGTGTCACCAGCAGGTCAATGTTTTCAATTATCTAGTTAAGTAATCAACAACAAAAAAGTTAGCGAGACATTCGTAGTTCCCAGATGATGTACCATACAGACTTTAGAGAACCTGACTTTTCCTCTAGTGCCACTACAAGATTGTGATGTTAGATTAGGAAAGTCATGGTCCTCAGATAATTGAATGGTAACAAATTACATTCTCTGACATTTCCTCAAGAGCCATCATAAGGTAAACAAATCAATATGTCCGATACTTTTAATATGACCACATAACCCTACAAAAAAGTGCATCCCCCTAGACCAGGGGTGTCAAATTCAATTTCAACTCGGGCCACATTAGCATCATGGTTGCACTCAAAGGGCCAGTTTTATATATAAGACTATATAAGAATAAATATATAAATATTTAATATATATAAAATAATGTATTATATTACATTATTGCCTCTGCATTGGATTATTATCGGATAGGGTAATAACTTCATTATTAACTACGTCTGAAAGAAGTCTAGGGCAAACAATTGCAAGTCTCTTCAGTGTGCATGTTACAAAATGATTTAAAAAGAAAAGCTAAATTCTGAAAAAAAAAAAAAAATAAGTGCAATTTTGGGGGAAAAGTAACATTTTGGAAAAAAAAGTCAAATTCCGAGAAAAAAGTCAAATTTGAGATGCATTGTGGGACATGTAGTTTATGGGCAATGTGCTTCTGTAAAGCGGCATGTAACCGTATAATAAACATATTATATTCTTTGCAAGCTCTTGTGGGGCCACATGAAATGAAGTCGCAGGCCGGATTTGGCCACCGGGCCTTGAGTTTGACACCCCTGGTTTAGATAGTTAACTTTAGTCAAGTTATCTCAGTGGGTCTCCTACGTTTTGGTCACCATTTATGAGAATAAATGAAAACAGTTATGAAATACTATATAACAGTAAAGCAAGAATACAGTTTAAAAGGTGAGTGATTTGTAAAATATCCATAAAGAAAAATAAAATCTGTTTACCATAAATTCATTTTGCTCTCAAAGTGCACCCGGTTGATGCAATTAACTTCAATATTTAAANTACTAATTCTGAGAAAAAGGCAAATTCTAAGAAAAAATGAATATTTTGAAGAAAATAAGTCAAATTCTGAGAAAAAAACTTGTTCTGAGAAAAAAAGGCAAATTCTGAGAAAAAAGTCAAATTTGAGATGCATTGTGGGACATGTAGTTTATGGGCAACGTGCTTCTGTAAAGCGGCATGTAACCGTATAATAAACATATTATATTCTTTGCAAGCTCTTGTGGGGCCACATGAAATGAAGTCGCAGGCCGGATTTGGCCCCCGGGCCTTGAGTTTGACACCCCTGCCCTAGACACTATGTTCAGTGCTTCATTGCTAACAGCATAAACAAGTGAGTACACATCACAACAGGACAAGGAGAGACATCGGAAGAGATACGATTTTATCCAGTAAAAAAGTGGAGGGAAATATCTGCCAAATATGAGACAGATGAAATGGAGAAACAGTTTTCTGGAAGGTGAAGTCCTCCAGACGTCCTTCTCAGTGCCGTGGCATTTGACCGTTGAGTGCTGGAGAATCTATAGATAATAATAAAAGCTTTATCTTCAAATGTCAGAGATTTATTTAAATATTATGGTGAGAGACGTCAGTGAATGTTTTAATTATTTTGTGTTGAGTCATAAGTATCTTTGTACAATAAAGCAGTCCTATGGTACCTAATGGAAAACTTAACAAAAGAACATTCCCCATTACTCATTTTCAGATGCTTGAAAAACAACAAAACAAAACAGACAATAATGCAACAACAACAACAACCATCACTCACCATTCCTCATCAGAAGATCTGCCCACGCTGTGCAACTATGTGCTTGGTTGATGATGACACTAATAACAATTGCTAGTCCTTGCTCCATTGTTTGTCATTGTTGTCCATTTACCAAGGGCGGAAAAAAACGCATATACAGTGAAGGGACTTCTACCGTTCACAGCCAGTATGAGCTGAATAAAGGCTCCATTGAACATCAAGAGGAATGTGGGAGGCTTGATTCACAAAATGGATGAGCCAGTGACGTAATAGGCTGCAGGACACAGGACATGTGTTGTTTTTGTTCTCGGTGTATTGTAGCAAGCGTGATTTTCTACGAGACATCTCTTATGTTATGTTGTTATGCATTTATCCTGTATAGATTCTATATAGACATTACAGCTTTTCTGAATTACATTTCAAACTAAAACTAAGATGGAAAAAGTATTGTTGATAACTAGTTTCCAAAGTACAAAATGCTGTCATGCTTTTTGACCTGAGGGCAGGAGCAGGAACAGAAAAAAGGTCAATTTATCCCCAAATAGCTCAATTTAGGGTTAGGGTTAGGGTTACCTCCTAGATTGGGCAAGTTAAGCCACTATACTTTTTTTTAAGTGAAGTCATATTTTCATGGCCCTTTGTGATTGATGCATTATTATCATACTGATTGACAGAAGACTTCCTGAAATAACTGTTGATGTTGTCATCTGACTTCAATCTAATTCTTCCTTGCTTATGGGACAACATAATCAAAATTGGCTCATCTTACCCCACTCTCCCCTAATTAATAAAATAACGGTTTTATTTGGTTTTGTTTTTATCACCATCGGTAGCACAGTTTAGCTCAGACACTTATCTTCAACTCGCCCAACAGGATGCCCATATGAACCCAAACCTTAATATTTCGATAATTATTACCAATGTTTATTGCCCTATATTTTGCTCTTGCAAAGCATTAAATTACAAATCAGATACCATCAACAAGTTGGACTAAAAGGATGCAACAGCCTCTCCACAGTGCAAAACTCTGTTGAGCGTTTTCACTCTGGGGCGTTTTCATTCTGGGGCTTTATACTTTCTATTAATACTTTCTACTTTCTATTTTTAATTTATTCTTTCCATTTGTACGTAATACTTTCTATTTGTAGTCTCTGGCTGTTCACCACAGATTCAGGCGGTTTTCTCTTGGTTGAACAACTCCTCTTTGTGCTGTGAGTACATCAAGCACATTGCAAAAAAAAATAGACCAATCCTGGGGAAATAATTCAATAGAAAGCAACACAATTAATGAACCAGTTTTCTCAGTGATGCTGTAATTTTGTTCACAGCCAAACCC